AAATAATTTAGATTATATAATTAAGACTATACATGAATAAATATACATTATGTAATACAGATAAAATTCATGTTACATTTTATTTAATAAACATATATCACATCCCATCAGAGGATGTAGCATAATCTAAAACTTGCACAAAAATGTAGATATAGCAATAAATATAATTTGTATTTTTTTAAGGAATGAATGGTTTTTAGGAGCATGTTATAAATGAACTAATTCAATATTGATGGTATATAGTTATTACATCAGTTAATGAAAATATCCCATTATTTTTTGTGCGACCAAAGGGACAAATATTATATAATGATAAAAAGTAAGAATAAAGTTAATCTTCCAAAATATTAAATATCTATTACATTCATGAAGTATTAATCTATTTATTTTTGTAATTATTCTTTTTATTATATTTACTAATATTTTCTGCAATGATATAATTATATGTTCCTTTCTATTGTATTATATAATATGAGTACTTTTTCAATCTCTTAGGTTACTCACATATTTTTCGTTAAATCTAATACATTTTAAAAAACATGAACATAATTATTTGTTAAAAAGAGATTGTTATTCTTATTATTATTTATTTTTATATATAAAAATTAAGCATTTGAAATAATAAATAATGTTTTTCTTCTTCATAATACAGATTATGCTTCCGAATGCATAGCTAAATAATATATTATTATCGTCCTTTCTATGATTGGAAAAATATTTTTGATTTCCGAATGTACTTCTTAACAGTATATTTATGGGAATATACTTTGATATATAAGAACTGAAAAAAATATACTTGACGATTTATACATTATTTATATTCTAATTATCAATACAAATTATAAAAATATCAATACAACTAGCACACGATATAGAAAATATCATTTACTTTATATGAATATCTATAATCCATAAATATTGCAATAGATATGATAATTATTTTCTCAAACATTGCTGTAGATTTATAGACGTGACTCATTAACTCTGAAATTATATAAGGAAACAAAACCATTTTTTGAAATCCGAATGCATATTCCATTTTTTTGATAAGACTTTATGCTATAAGTCTTAATCATTTTTGCTATGATTACAACTTCCCATGGTGAAGATTTTTTTTTACAGCATTTTATTCAGCTTGAACTACTTAGCCATGTGCAGTAATGTGCAAAACAATTCATGGGGGTGATCCTTACGTTAACTATAAATATTGAGACATTTTCTTTCATAGAATAATATACATTATCAATTAAAACATTCGTATAATTCTACATATCTTGAATAGTCCTATTACATTTCTTGCATTCTCAAACTTAACTATTAGCATCATTTCTTTAGTAATAAAAATCTCCATAGTAATCATATAGTTCTTTTGTTTTTTCCATTTAAATTTCAGAAATCCGATAAGATTTCGTATCATATTTGTTGCAATAATACTCTTTTTTTTTTCGCCAGGTAGGGTACTATACGTTATATGAAGTGAACCAAAAACATGGTTAGCCTTAGTAGTATAAATAGCAATATAATTTATATTTAATCTTTTATATACCCAATAATTCAAATGTATACAGATAATTTATTCTCAAATGTTTTTATCTAAGTGCTTATGTTTAGTTTTTAAATATTTTAGAATATGCCAACTAAGTCTATTAACACTAGGTTTCATGAACCTAGAATAATATAATAAACTATATTCTTCATTAAATTGTTTTAATCTTTTATATTCTATTTTGAAATTATATTATAAAATTTCACGTGGCAATTATTTTTAAGCTATTCCAAATCAATTGTAATTAAAAAGTGATATAAATTTATTGCAAAATAATTATATTGTTGAAATATTACTGTTAATTAATCAGAAAAATACTTGATAAATAAAATAATTAAAACAAGTGTATATGTTCAATGTAAAAGAATATTAATAAATACGTTCACAGATTCCAAAACATTGATATTCTTTGTTCAAAGAATCATACAAATTTAGCAAAATTTTGAAAAAATTATATATATATTTTTTCCAAGTAATAGGAAATATCATTTTATTTAACTAACAAGTAAAATTATATTTTTTTTATAGGACACCCATTTTATAGATTGTCTCATATTAAGTGTATAATGAATAAAAAACACAAATTATTAAAATAACAAAATTAAATTGAGAAATTAAAATGCATGTATATATGATAATAAAAATGTAAATATTATAACGTGCATTCAAAATGAGGGATACTATTCATCATTGATAATATGTATAATTAAATTTTTTGAATTGAAAAAAAAAATATACTATAAATCCCAATAAAAATATTCATATTAATTCTATAACTTGAAATTATCATATAGATCTACGATAAAATAAGACTCGTTTTAGTTAAATGTCAAAAGAATGTATTTATTTAATTCCTGATTTTAATTTATAATAAATGCTAGAGTTCAATATGCCAATTAATGTATATCCTTACTTATTGAACAGTTAAAAATTTTTATATAATAATTTTTAATAAATTAAAAATAATAAATAAATTAATAAATATATTTCATTAAAAGCAATAATTTTTTCAAGAATTGTGTAATTTATATTTTCCTACATAAGTAATTTTTTATGATAAATTTTTAAGCATTTCTCAAACATATGTATTATTGTGTGTATTGCGAAATGTACATTTTCGATAAAATATATTTTTTAGTAGTATCATAATGTTTTAAGATTTTTTGTAAATAATCAATTTAAAATAAACTATTTAATTGTTCATTTTGTGAATGTGCACAAATTATAACCCATATTTTCTGCGTTTTTTATATTTTCCTGAATAAATCTAATTATACTTTATATTTGTAACGCATAACAAATTTGTATGTATACAGACATTTATAATATCAATTTGATTGAACATTAGCTTTATACATTCATTGTATTATTTATATAAAATAGGTAAATTAATTATTTGAATTTTTATTGTTGAAGAACTTATGTGTTCATTACTATTAATTAAATCATTCTTAGAAAATTTATAAAATTAATTTCCTATTAGGCTTACTACTATTGATCTTTATTTTATATTATAATATATTCATGTTATCAGTATAATATAAAATAAAAATATATAGTGTACAATTTAGGTGTTCACTAAATATAAGTTTGATTTTATATTTTATTATGCATATAGTTTTTACAATAGACAATATGTATTTTTATATCGCCTACTCTTCTTTTCTTTTAAACTGACAATAAAAATAAAGAATATTTAATATTTTAAGGTGAATGTAAATATAATTTATTATGAAATTTTTTTTCACATAATCAATAATATGTGTATAGTATTTTCTCATTGAAAAAAATTTATAAAATAACATAATTAAATATACACTTAAAGGAAAATAATATGTGTATAACATGTAATGTAATAATATGTTTTTTTTTCCTTTTGTTTTACCTTTATTATTATATTTTATAAGACACATTTCATATTAATATATATAATTATTTGATTGATATTAATAAAATACATTTGTTATATTACTTAATAGGGAAATATATATAGGAACAAGTGTTTTATTTTGTTCAAAAATATATTATAGTATGTGATAGTTCAGTAATTATATGTTTACCATTTATTAATGTTTTATTTTATACATATTTACTTATGTTTATTTTAAGCTAATTCTGATATTATACATATTTTATATTTAGCATTATATTATATTGCGATAAATTATTAAAATATAACATTATATACTTTTTTTGATATGATAAAACGTTAAAAGTATAAAGAATAAGTACTATTTATATAATATTTTATTCAAAAGTTTTTAATGCATACATTTATAAGTAAAAACATATTTTACAATTTATAGTAGAAACTACATTATGAATAACAATATTTTTTTTTTAGTTTAATGAAAAATAAGTATTATTTATAATATGTGAAATAATAGGAATAAAATATATATTATTTATACACAATGAAATGAACTGTACAAGTATTAATAGCATTATAGAAATAAAAATTAAAAATTTTCTTCACACAATAATATATTATAGAAGAATAATTATACGTAATAAAATATGTTATGATACATTCCAATTATGAAATAAGTACTATTATGCTGATTATTCGTGAAACTAAGGAAAGAATATATTTTTACATAAAAATAAATTTTAATTGTACGATTATTTAAAATAAAAAAGCAGTATTATTCATAAAATTATAATTTTTAATATAAAAATTTTATACAAAATTTATATTATTATCTAAATATTATAATAATATAATTTCGAAATTAATATAATTTATTAAACAAAAATGTATTATATAGTTAAAAATAATATATTTATATTTATTAATAAGTGGAAATAAAAAAATTTTAATAATAAATGGATTTATAAAAAATATGCACAATTCAACTTTATAATCGAATTTTTTCACAAATTATATATGTTTTTTGAATAATCACGTTTTTCTAGTTTTCTTTACGCTACTATTCAAATTATTAAAAAATTATAATGTTAATAATTTACATATAATAACAATATACTCTGTACATATCATATTTTAAGAATATCTTCATGCTCATAGATTACTTGTGTTATTATAATTTTTTCCTCTTATATAGTTCATCATATTTATATATTATTACTAAAACAATTTTATGTAATAATAATATTTACATAGTAGACCATATATGTATGCATAAATTATAGAATGTATATAATTTCCTAATTTATATTTAATATAGGATGCACATTCTCTTGCATGGTTTTTTTCTATATAACGATAAATGTTCAGTTTTCTCATAATATTATTTGCGATAATTATTATATTAGTATACTAATATACCATACGTATTTAAAAAATGTATCAAAAGATATATTTTTTTATTATAAGAATAACCAAAATGCATATATTTCTATATTTTTTATAATTATTTATGCATTAAACTATTTACTGCAAAATTAAGTACAGTCAGTTGAAATCTTATACTTTTACATAGACATTTTATGATTACCTAGCAGAAGTATATGTTATGTCATACATAATTTTATCAGGATGTCCATCATCTCTTTTATATTTGCATGTCATGTGTTCGCATTGCTTGTCATCCATATTCATTGCCTTTCTCATCTTTCTTTGCTCAATAAGGCGTAATTTCTTTAAAGATTCCCTATACTAATAATAGAAATAATATATTAATGAATTACTAAGAATATATAATTTTAGAAATAATTTATTTTTTAAATGTAATAAAAAATAACCATAATATATATTTATTTCAAATATAAATTATTTTGAACCTTATAAAAATATAAAAAAAATGTTCCTATTACTATCATAACAATAACTGTTGTTATTATAATATTTTTATTTGTATTTTTTCTAGCAAAAATTTTAAGAGTATCTCTCTCTAAATCCCTTGTCTGTAAATTTCCCCCTCCTGAATCTGTCATCTGTAAATTTCCTCCTCTTGAATCTGTCATCTGTAAATTTCCCCCTTCTGAATGCGTCATCTGTGCAAGTTCTTTATTTGATGGCCTCTCTGTCTTGCAAAAAGTTTTGTAAGCTTTGAATTCATTTACGCCATCTCTATCTTCAAAATTTCTGCTGCAGCTTATGTGGGATAACGAATTATTACTTTCAAATATACATCTAATATGATATAATTTATTACGTATATCAATATTTCCGGAATCATTAATCATTCTTATGAGAGTATTATATTTTTCAATTAAAGTTTTTATATTAGGACATATTAATTCATTAGGATACCTATTTCTGATCCCATTATTTATAAGCCAATATATGTTATATATATTATAAAGATTTTTTATTTTTTCATATTTATTATCATCATCAAGTTCAAATTCAAAAGTACATTCCTTTGCAAATAGATCAGAGTTAAGAGTATTAATATATTTATTCAAATAAATAAATATACTTTTAGCATTTTCATTATGGTCTTCTTCTATTTTTGATTTTATATAGTACTTAATACAATTGCCACATATATAGTTATCATTTAAATTAATCTCCTTAACACTGCCAATATATTTTTTTATAATCCTACAATAAGAAGAAATACTTTGTTTTATATTTTCTTCAATACGTACGGTAGTGAGGAAATGAACAATATCTTCATCACTACCTTTATAATCACCAAAATTTGGGATTTGATCCCTATATAATGCGTAACCATTGTAATCCAAATACTAATAAAAAACATATAAATTATAGAATATATTCATATTAATGTAAATGTTAAATAAATAATATTATTCATATATTGCTAAAATAATCATGGAAGAAAATAAGTTATTATTTAACATTATAGAAGCATATAAAATTTACGTTGCATTACTTACATCAGTTGACATTGTATACATAAAATATAAAAAGCAGATTAATATTAATATTAATATTATATTATTTAAAAATATTGAACGTCAAAAAAAATTAAATATTTTCTGTATCGTGAATTTGTATTACTAATTTTAAAAATGAATGATGTAATTTATTAGATATTGCATTAATATTTATATATATATATCTCTAATATTATTTGATGTTAGGAAGCTAGAAATAAAAGAATAATTAGAACGAAGAAAAACGGATGAATCAATGAGTATTATTTAAACAGATATAAGGTGAACATAAAAAATAAAATTATTATTAATATAAATAGATCATAATATTAATAATGTTTTACTGATTGAAATAATTTATTTTTTATGCATAATACATATAAAATGAGTAATGTATATTATGATAAGAATATATGATTCTTTAAATAAGAATTATACATATATTATTATTAAAAGAATTATAATATCATTGTATATTATTATGATTTGTATATATAATTTTAGTACAGATATTATGGGAACGTATTATCAAATCAAAACAATTACAATTATATTGTTTCTACATTGTTCTATAGTAAATATATTTATACTAAAATGTATCTTTATATTATAAAATAAAATATTAAATTAAAAATATAATATAAATTAAATTAGGTACTTATCCCAAGAATTCTATAATTATACGAAAAAATAATTATTATATAATAGTAACTAAAATATTATATTAGCGTATAATGTAATATATCTTTTACATTAAATTAAATGATTAGTCTTTTGTCCTAATTAAATATTTTGTTATTAATAATATATTATTTTTATGAATATAACTATTTAAAACAAGGAAAACATCCATTATCTAATAATATATAAAATTAAGGGAAAATGAATTAGCGATTCCTTAAAAATAAGAAAAAAACTTGTATCAAAACGAATAACTCAAATTATATCTTTATTTTTGTAATAAAAGTATTACATACTTCATATTTGTGATATAATATAAGATATATAACAATGAAACAACATTATATATATAATACATAAATATATCATATAGAATATGTGTAAAAATCATTTAATATTATATTTAAATTATTATATATTATTATAAAAAACATAAGCATATATATCTAATACGCAGTTATATATATGTTTTATATATAGATATGTTTCTTTAAATGAATAAATAATTGTTATGATGTCATTATATACACAATATATTAACAACAATATCTTATGACGAATAATTTAAGCGAATATCTTTTACATATTAAATTAGTAAATATTTGGCAATTATATTTTTGTGCTAAATGATTATTTATTATTCCTGATCTTTACAATTATAAGTCTGAATTTTAAAAAATTATTAATTATATAACTTAAATTAATCCATGAGCTATTAATTCTAAAATATATTAAGGTTTTATTTTTATTGATATATTTAGAATAAATGTATATGCATTTTCATTATTTATTTAATTATTTTCTTTTTTTTATGAATATAATACGTTTATTATACATAATTATGTAATCAATTTATATTACATAAAAATTCTTTTCACACATTAATATTATGTATATTATTTACAGAAAAATAGTTAAATATAACGATAAGTAAAGTATGATTATTTTATTAGTATATTTCTAATATTATTTTAAACATTATATATATACCCATTCTGTTTAAATTTAATAATACCTAAGTATGAAATAAACAATATTATTTTATCATTATTATTTATACAGTTTTGAAAATAAACTGAAAAATATTTAATTAATTATGGTTTTTGTGTTTTTACTTGTTCATGATATTATATAATAATGTATAATATTTATTTGTTATTCATAATCATTGAGCAGAAATAGATATTATATATCTCATATATGTTTCATTTTTTAATCTAATAATAAATACTGACATATAAATTCGTATTATTACAGGTTTACGTCCTATAAGAGATTATATTTAAATAAATTTATTTTTCAATATCTTTATGAAATATTCACGATGCTTTAGCAATATGCAAAAATAGAAATTATTCCAAATGTTAAAACCAATAAGATTATTTTGCCATTCACTTGTTAATAATATAAATATTTTGAATCAATAAATATTCGTTTATGTATTAAATGATCACATGTAATTCAAAGTATCATATATTGAACACATAATATATATTCATTGGAGTAAATAAAAATTGTTAAATATAATTCCTTTTATACTAAGAAAATATTATTATAATATTTATTTTATAAAAAAAAAACTTTATAATCATAACTTATTGTACGTGTTTTTTGATGTATATATATATAAAAATAATTTATCTATTAATATTATATTTCATGAATATTAGGCCTCGATGAACAAGGAACATTTAATCTTACAAGATGCGCCTGTTCACATTTCACTATACGATATGAACATAAAATATGAAATTATAAATATAAAATATATTGATAATGCTTAATATTCATGGGGAAAGAAAAAAATAGCAATTTCTAAATAATTAAAAAATAATTAAATGTTATGATGTTCTATATGCCAAGTAGGTTTCTCAATATGTGTAATTTATTTAATAAAAGCACATAAAAGTATATTACTAAATATATATTATTGGATATAAAATATGTATTCGATATAATATATATATATTTTTGTTTATTCTATTTCTTATCCTTTTATTAATTATATATATAATTCTCTTATTTGTAATATGAATGCACATTATCTATACTACTAAACAAATGAAATATGCAAATAGACATATCTAAATATAAGATTATAATGTATACAAATTTACAAAAATTTTATCACATATATATAGAGTCACATACTCCTTAAATCATAATTTTTTTTTTTTTTTATTATCATATTATTAATAAATAAATAAATGTATATTAATAAAATGTTATGGGGGAAACTAGATTTCTGCAATGAAACGTTTATGCTAGTAATATATTCAGGGGCACTAAAAATATATTATTATATAACGAACGTTATAAATTATTTTATAAAATGTATTAATATATTTTTAAATACACAATTATACATCATACAATTCCCATATAATATTATATGGAGAAAATAAGAATGTTATTTAATTATATGTTGATATATTCTTCATTAGAAAATTCGGGATATTTACATATATAATCATAAAAAATATTAAGGCTATAATATTATAGTTGAAGTAGATTAGAATAAAATTATATAGGTTTTTTGCTAGAATAAATGTTTATATAATGATTCTATGAAATATAAATTATTCCGATATTACAATCTTGATTAAATATAGTAAGCATATTATTCAATTAGATATATGTATCTAACATAAAATAATAAAAAATTTCTATAAAAAAATATATATATTTTTATGAAATTATTATAGATTATCTTTCCTAATTATATCATTTTCATTTCATATTTATGGTATTGCTGTAATATATAGATATTCATAGGATACTTAAACATTCTTTTCGTAAAGTTATAGGTAAATATATTTTAATTAATTGAATTCTTCAGAAAAATAAGTATATATTTTTATAATGCTTATAGTATCTTATTATATATATTATACATAAGAATGTTTCTTACTGATCTATTAATTTATGACAATTAATTTTTTAATAAATATATATATATATATATATTTCAAAGAAAATAATATCTATGAATACTAATATATTGCGAGCATTTCTTTATTTTCTAGCAAATAAAATCTTGATAGTGGACAAATAATCCTTAATTTAATCCTTTGAATTACATATAATCTGTCATATAATGATTTATAACAGTACTCATTATTGTATATGTGTTACAACAACATAAAATTAGGATTATAAGATTACATATTTATTCTATATATTATATGTTCCTACAAAATATTAATTTAAACAGTAGTACACAAGTATATAAAAAAAAATACACACATCATACAGTTATATTGTTATCTATATTATCACCTAAGAAAATTTGTTACTATTCATTTTTTTTTTTTTCCTAAATGAGATACACGAAACATTGTAAATTCGGAATTAGTAATTTAATTATATTAATAAATATAAACAGAATTACTAAGGAATACAGGATTTATAATGCAATTATAATAATATTTATAGTATTTATATTGTGTTAAATAATTTATGCTATTTAAAATTATAAATGCATTAGACAAAAATAATGTATTCTTTATATATAATTGAAATTATTATAATATACTAAATGTAAAAAAGAATAAAATTTATATATATATATGAAGACGAAAAAAAAATATGGTTCATAATATTTAAAAAAAAATTTGAATATAATTTGTTCGTATATAATGGAATTAATATATGGGTTATAATTTATTATATATATGTATCTCCTTGATGTATTTGCACATTTATTTGAACATATGGACTTTTTTGAAACAAGATATTATACATATTAATTATGACATTGAAATAACAATAATGTTATATACATATGAATAAATAAAAAAGTATACCACATTTATAATAAGATATAACAATATATAATCTATACTATTAATCAATACATAAATAATCATATTACTTAGTACATTATCGTGCTTATACATACAGTTATAAAGGAAACAATAGAACTATAACTCTCTAAGGTATCATAATTTAACATATATTTCTTACTCTTTAGAGTGTATAAACATATATAATAATTAATATATTTTGCACATAAAATAATAGATTAAGCATAAATATCTATTTAAATATTTCACAATGTTTTTATAAATACATAAGAATATATATATAAATAATGAGCTAATGCATATAAGGTTATATGATTCTATAATAAATAAAATATATAAAAATACGTATTCACATTAAAAAAAAATCAAACCATTACTATTCTATAGTTCAGTGCTCTACATATTATTTATATTATTATTTAAAATGAAAAATAGACTAATA